AGTGACAAACACAAGCACAGTGCAAGGAAACTGCTATCAGGATTATATACTACACACGTACAATTCATCGTGCAAAAACATTGAAATCAAAGAACACGTTTGCTAGGAAACCAGGAAGTTAAAACAGTATAATGATCGTCTTCCTTTCATACGATAAAAGCAAAGGACCTAATTGAAATCAGCAATTACAATGAAAAATGGAGTTTACATAAATGAGGATCTAACATAAAAAAACGTAAAACCTTCTGTTCAGGCTGAGAAAATTAAACAGGAATAACAAATACATCCAGTGTTTCACGCGAGTTGCGGAAAATACTACGTAAGCGTAAACATCAACAGGACAACAATATACCATTATCAAATGAACTGATTTCTCTGACCTCTCCTTACGTAAAACTGACATTTCTGTAACCAGTTACGATAAGTGCCCTTAATACATTTATTACGTGTGGGCATTATAGTATACTTAATATGATAGTGATGCTTTATTATTTTTTTGATTTTTCATCACTAGCAATCCAATCTACTCCATACTCTATACTTCTTTCTTACTGAGATTAATTGTCATATATTTTAAAGTACAAGTCAAATATCTTACTCCAAATTAATAATATTCAGTATTCTTACTGTCATTTTATTGTGTTTATCACTATTGTATTTTTGGTCAACTTTCTCATTGTTGTATGCAAATAGTGTAATTCCAATTACTTTTTAGCACAAGTACAAACTATCTTATGCTAGTAGTGACCAACTACCTATTTTTTTTTTTTCCTTTTGTATTGTGCAAAAATGCTCAATATATTTAATATTACAAATAGATCTTACTCCTAAACCAAATATTATTTCTAGTGGGACCATTACTGTCCATTTAACTTTGTTTACCATTACTTAATTTTAGTCCCTTATATATTATCCTTTACGTTTAGCTTTATATTACCTACCTAGTCTTATAGATTCACAATTGGTAAAATAATCAAGGTGTATTCTCCAGGTGCTAAAGTTAGAATAAGTTTGCAATTTTGCATTATATTCCATCAAAGCTCATTTATTTGACTCGACACTGTATTGTTCACCAACAAACTTATATTAGTCCCTGTTAAAAGCGTCAGAATTTTCTATAATTTATTGCTAACTTTAAAGCTATTACCTTTATAGTACTACCTAATATATATTCCCAAGCCCATTATTTGATCATCTGCTTTATTTGTATATAGCTCCCTTTAATATTGTCTCTTTATTTTAGCTAAAAAAATACTCTAAAAATAATCTCAAAAACTACCTTATCTCAGCGCATTTTACATTTGTTAATCATAATCAGGTGCGATTTTTATGCTTCAAGGCCTATTTACTTTTGTTTTATACTTAATTTTCTAATTATAGATATTTCATACACATCTTATTGATTACAAGCATTGATCCTGAACCAACTCATTATTTAATGACTTAAATGAATCATACAGTTTACTGTAATTACTACACGCACGAACAATCAAAGGCACGATTTCAGTGCCAACAACAAATAAACTTTCTGTTAACTACATATCAGATCTTTAAGCAAGCATTACGGATGCTCATAGCAAACTTAAATTCCTTACATGGCCAATATGTCCATCATTACACTAATGAAACCTGGCTAAGCCTGGACAGTAACGAATGTCTATGCATTCATGGTTACACAGCCATAAACATGGTAGCCAGACCCACACAAGGAGGTGGCACTGCCTTTATACTACTAGACCAACTAGAATGGATCACTAATACTTGCAAGGGGAATGAACAGGGGAATATATAATAGCCGAATTCAAGGTCCAATACCTACAAAAAAATCTCCAGTGATAAGCATCTACAGGTTCACAGTCAAACATTATCCAATTTAGTTCAAAACCTAGGAAGTTGATCTATGATAATGATGGCACGCATGAACAAGATCATACTACTTAAGGGGACTTCAATCTAAATCTCTGCAAGTCCTGGACCACCGTTACTGAAATCACACAAAACAAATGGCGTCCAGTACTCTGTAGGTTGCTCAACAGTAACAAACCCATAAGAGTTTCAGAGGGGTAAAACTCAAGGGTGGTTTTTTTTTTTTTTTTTTTCCTACTTGACCAATTGGACAACACATATCCCCCTTTTAAAATATGCATTAATTACAGTACTAACCGACCACTACCCTACTTTCCCATAACAACTTTGGCTAAACTCCCCAAGGACACTACTAAAGTCACTTCAGACTTACCAATGAACCAGGCAGCCATTAATATTCACACCGCCGTAGCAAACATTGACTGGACCTGAGTAGACATCTATACAGATATTGACGAATGTATTAATAATTTTCTAAAGAAAAGACACAATACCTCATATAACAAGCATGCCCTAAAAACACTAAACAGAAGACAGCTATGTAGCACTGAACACGCTCCATGGCAAACACCCAGCATTCTCAAATCCCTAAAGCACAAAAACACCATATGCTCTCTCTCTTCCAGTACAGACATGGGTCATTAACAGAGACTAAATACAAAACGGTTACTCGTCAATCCTGCTAACAAGCCTGTTAAGAAAGGCAAATAAATATATTGTGAGAAAGATTAATCCAACTTTACGAGAGGTGATATAAAAGACCTGGAAAACACTATCAGAAATTCTGCGGGATACAAAAAAGATATCATCGAAATAGCGCAATACAAATTAGCAAAATTCAGATTGAACCCCAATTCCACCACGAAACAGCAGACTCAATGATTTTTCTCCCACTATAGGACAAAACCTTGCCAATATCACCTTCCCAAGCTCAGTTACCCACCAAATGATAACCTCACCGGGCAACTACCGAACACACTATTCCTAGCTCTAGCACTAACCCATACGAAGTCTCCTTATTATAAACCGCACTAAAAATTCAAGGCAGGAGATCTTAAATACCTTACCACCTTTCTATACAAAATAGCGCGCTTACAAGTGCTATCACCAATACATTGCAACACTCTTTAACAAATCCATTGATCCCTCCACCTTCCCTTACAGTACTCAACAATAGGCAAGGGTCACCCGATCACAAAGGAGGCCGACCAACAGAGTTGATTAAATATAGGCCAATATCCAATTACACCCTCTCTCAAAAATCTTCGAAATTAATTCATAAACGCATCTCCCTCCTCTTATCTCCCAAAACATACTCACCCTGCAATGGGATTTCATTCAAATAAAATACTTAATGATGCTATTAACACAAGTAGGAACCATATATACACTGCAATAGAGAAAAAAGAAGTCCCATGGGGATCTTCATTGACTTACGTTAAAGCTTTTTGTACAGTTGACATGAACTTGCTGCCACGTAAAATTGTCGCACTCATGGCTTATAAGAGGGCACTCCCCAACTACCTCACGTCATACCTCAGCAACCACCGAACGCCCATACTATCGATTTACCAAGCCAAATGGGAAAAATCTTCTGCACACCCAATTACAAGTTGGTGTCCCCAAGGGAAGTGTCCTTGGCCCTCTTCGCTTTCTCTATAACATAAATGACCTAACCATAATGCTTCCAATTGCTCAATCCCACCAATTTGCAGATGACACTACATACATCTTCTCCCACCCGAGCCCAGTCACGCTGCACAAATACTGTAAAATACCGAAATTACCAGAAAATGTTCTGGACGCGCTGCGCTCTCAGCTCTCTACAGAAACTTCACTAAAATTGACAAACCTAATTATTCGTTTGGTAACAGAGCTACAGATGTCCCTCTTAACTAATGATCAACGGATCCCTATCACAATCTCTCGTGCTCTCACAGAGGGAAAAATCTTAGGAATCCACCTTGAAAATAGATCTAATTTCATACACTTATTTTAAAAAACAAACAAATTTCTAAGAAAATTTCCAAGACTGTAGGCATCTATCGAAGATACGGTATAGCCTCCACAGTCAGCCTCTGGCCTATATCATTCTTATAATACCCCTATCTAACTTTGGAATTTGTACATGGCGGCTCAACTCATACAATTAACATCTCAGGACCCACTAAGCTACCCAACAAAGGCTGCAGTTAGAATGATAACAATTCTCATACAGGCGGCTCTCTAGACTCTACAAAAATCAATACACTAAACCTACTCACATTCACAATAACATCCATACTTATTACTGCACCTATTACTACATAGAACAACTTAACTATGATATTAACCTCCCTCAACTTCTCCTTGCCAACCCTCAACAGAAACATGACATAAACAAGGCCTCGCGATACATCTTTGATGTTCCTCGTGTCCAATCTCACACTATGCAAAAACTCAATGCACATAAAAGGCCTAAAATCTGGACGCGAATTACCTGTAAATATAAAAGAAACCTCTACCTGTTTTTAAATTCAAGTTCTCTTCTCAAAAGATACCTACTACCCAAACCAAATTATTACTGACTAACACGCAGCTCACCTTATAAATTGTATATCATAAATGTTTCTCACACGTTTATCACATAATGTTTAACCTAAATACCCAATCTAACTTTATTATTTTTAAAATACACTTTACCTAACAGAATACTCCATACGCGACTGAATGTACAACATATGCATGCAACCATTGACCTTTTCTTTGTACTACTCACTTGTGCTTTATAGTAATCTGTTTTACATTAATGGTTTTATCAATGATTTCATCATTGCTTAGTTAATCTTAAGTTAATTTTAAGCAGCCCGCGAAGGGTATGCATAGTAATAGTGGCTTTGGCATGTTGAGTTATCCTGTATTTTTTTTGTACCTCTGTATGATGAATACCCCTCGTGCTCACAATTTGTTCAAAAAATAATATCAATCAATAAATCCATTCTCTCTAAATGACATCATCTAAAAAAAAACAACCAAACCTCAACAACCCTCTTCAGCTATCGGACTAATACTTTTATTGACTCCACCACCTGCTTCTCAGATGTTCATAAGATTTTATCACAGTTCATATTAAACCTGAACATGTTACTCTGTGTATAATGTGCAGTATATTTGTTGTATATTCAAATTTAGCATAATAATCAGTTCCTGTAAAAAGAACAACAATTAATTGTATCCCTTATATAATTTAATATTAATGTGATTAATTTAAAATTTTAGGTATGGGCAGCTTGGACTGGGTCACACAGATATGACTGAGGAACCTACTCAGGTATTCAACAGCGGTGTCACAAGAATTTATGCTGGAGGATGGAATTCAATCTTTGTTACAATACCATGTTAATGCCTTCTAAATCCTAAATTAATTTATTTACAGTTTAATGTAATATAACTGGACATCAGCTTTTATTGATCATTTAATAACCCCTAATTAGATTTTTTGATGTGATCAGGAATGAATTGAGTAAGTTTGATTGAAAGGTTTATAAACCAATGCATTTTCCTGCCCACTTATAGTGAAATGTTAAATACAAACATATATTAATATCAGTGCACATTTGAATAAGGGGATATAGTGCGAAAATAGACAAATGCAGCATAATAGAATCCTTTCTTAATGTTTTTGCCCACACAGTTGGCTTTATCAAATTAAAAGCAGATCTACCTGAGCAGAAAGTACATGTGTATATGTAAGGAGCATAATGATGTGAAGGGTCAGGTGAGAAATGTTGAAAGTGATTGCTGAGAAGAAGCTGAATTTGAGAAGGACGTCTTCTCATCAATCAACTTCAACATTCCTCACCTGACCCTTCACGTCACTATCCTCCTTATATACATGTTGTCAATAAAGGATTGCATTATACTGCATTTATGTGTATTTTTTCCATCATGTTGTATACCATTTATCTCCATGGGGATACAGTGGACTGTACTGTATATGTAAAATGGTGAAATACATTCTATGCTGTATTAATTTGCCTAAAATTCTAAAAGCTACGTCACTCAAAATTGATTTCTTCTTAATTCTGTGTTTCTTGCATTCCCACTATTGCTGTAGACTGATTTTTTTAATGGACACTTTTGGAATGTATGTATAATGACCCAATGGGCATCTAAAAGCAGGCGAAGTTTCTCCTGTGATTTCTTGGTTTCTTGTCATTTATATTGATGATCCCTCCTTTTCTTCTGGTCTCTGAAGAACAACTTTCCTAGAAAGACTACATATAGAATTCTCATTTATGTTGCTTTTCATGAACCAAAAGCTTACATAATATATTTTGTTTTACCATACAGTATTCATAATACAGCCTCTCCTCACTTAACGATGGAGTTCCATTCCTAAGACCACATCGGTAAACAAATTCGTCGCTAAGTGAGGAGCATATTATAATGGTAATGGGTTTGTGTCAACGATCTTTGATATTGTTTTGTCATATTTGCACCATTTTGAACATATCTGGTATATTTTTAAATGTTTATACGGTAGTGTACTGTATACTGTAATAAACAGAATAGAGGAAATCAGCTCTAATATACATTATTTAGGTATGCATACTGGTCAGAGAGCCCATCGTAAGTCCGATTCGCCACTAAACGAGTACATCGCTAAGTGAGGAGAGGCTGTAATCAAAAGTAAAATACAGTGTATATGCAAATGCTCTAAAGTACCTGAGGTTTCAAATTAATATCCAATATCTGGGTAGGGGTCGTCCTCGAAGGGTTTGGAAAGAGGGGGTAAAGGAGGTTTTGTGGCGAGGGGCTTGGACTTCCAGCAAGCGTGCTAGATAGGAGTGAATGGAGACGAATGATACTTGGGACCTGCGACGATCTGTTGGAGTGTGAGCAGGGTAATATTTAGTGAAGGGATTCAGGGAAACCGGTTATTTTCTTATAGTCGGACTTGAGTCCTGGAAATGGGAAGTACAATGCCTGCACTTTAAAGGAGGGGTTTGGGATATTGGCAGTTTGGAGGGATATGTTGTGTATCTTTATATATATATGCTTCTAAACTGTTGTATTCTGAGCACCTCTGCAAAAGCAGTGATAATGTGTGAGTGTGGTGAAAGTGTTGAATGATGATGAAAGTATTTTCTTTTTGGGGATTTTCTTTCTTTTTTGGGTCACCCTGCCTCAGTGGGAGACGACCAACTTGTTGAAAAAAAAAAAAAATCTGTATTTTTAAGATATATACATTAAAATTATTTTTGAATTGTATTACATGTACATATTTTTTCTTTTGTAACAATCCGTCTCCCACCAAGGCAGGGTGACTCGAAAAAGAAGAAACGTAAGTTTTTCTTATTTTTACATTTGGTAATTTATACAGAAGGGGTTGCTAGCCCCATACTACAGTCTGCTGTCTGAAGTATTGCAGTTTGTATTTTTAAAATTAAGGCTACAAAAATTTTAATACAATTTAAAATAAAGGAGGTATTCAAAATACATTTCAGCTATTTTCTGTTTTTTCATGTAAGACTTGAGTGCCACAAAATATTCCTGTTATGCTAAAATTGTACAATGGTGTAAAAGGATATTAATAGTTTCAGATGGGGCTTCTCTTGAAAATGCCATTAAGGAAACTGTAGACAATACATAAAAACAAAAGAAAAAAGGCACTGCAGTAGGTCTACTGGCCCACTCTAGTCAAGTCCTATTCACACTGAGCCATTGCCAATAGGTTCACTGTGGCACTCCTGTTTCATATGCTTATGATATTCTTATGTAGAAGACCTATACGTATATTATGCAATACGTTGTATGATGAATGATTTCTTGAACTAGTACATACACCATGCAGTATGCAATATACTGCACTATGCTTTGAAATTGAATGACCAATATGATTTAATAATCATTTAATAATAGTAATACCATAACTAAAGATAATAATAGTAATAATAATAATAATACTTTTCTGTGGTTTATTATTATTTTAAAGTTCAATTGTTTAACTATGATTAATATGTGGTCCCTATTGGTTAAAAATACATGTATTGTGGGACCAACCTGGAGTGTGATCTGGTGGTGGGCACCCAGGGCAGTCTCTCAGCACTGCCCCAGATGATGAATACAAGTATACCGAGGAAGGAGAGGACGGCACTCACCCAAAATACCAGCCGCCACTCTGCTCGACTCCCCTATCCCACACAGTCATGAACAAAAAATATTAAGTCTTTTTATCTAATTTTTAAAGCATTTTGAAAATACAGTATTTACCGTGTGTATGCATACATGGGCATATATAGGTGCAGTACACGGAAGATATCAATTTAAAATATATGACAACAAATGCTGTAGTAAAAATAACAACCACACAAGTGCTTTCGTGCATTTACAAACATTATTCTCCAAGGATGTACATGTAAATACATAAGTACTTGGGTGTTCTGTTAGGATAAGATTAAGATTTCGTTTGGATTTTTAACCCCGGAGGGTTGGCCACCCAGGATAACCCAAGAAAGTCTGCGTCATCGAGGACTGTCTAATTTATTTCCATTGGGGTCCTCAATCTTGTCCCCCAAGATGCGACCCACACCAGTCAACTGACACCCAGGTACCTATTTGCTGCTAGGTGAACAGGAAAACAGGCGTAAGGAAATGTGTCGAAATGTTATGCCCGCCGGGAATTGAACCCGGGCCCTCAGTGTGTGAAGCAGGAGCTCTAGCCACCAGGCCACCTATCCCCTCAAGGGAGGTTCCTTAAAGCTGGTGAAGGGCTCTTGATCTTAGGAACTGGACCTGCTCTTCCTTAGATTGATTCTAAATGCCTCCCATTCCCAAGGGCTATATACCTCTATGGGTTTAATGCTTCCCCCTCTAAATTCAGTAATAAAATTAATTAATTTCATATTCTATATTTTTTTTTTCAACAAGTCGGCCGTCTACCACCGAGGCAGGGTGACCCAAAAAGAAAGAAAATCCCAAAAAAGAAAATACTTTCATCATCATTCAACACTTTTCACCCATTCACAAAATCATTTTTTTTTTGCAGAGGTGCCCAAACAAAAGTTTAGAAGCTATACTATAAAGATAAACAACATATCCTCCAAATTGCTAAACCCCAAAACCCCCCCTTTTGAGTGCGGGCACTGTACTCCCTTTTCCCCAGGACTCAATCTGCATATAAAATAACCGTTTCCCTGAACCCCTTTCACAAAATAACCCTGCTCGCCCCCCCAAAACAGATCGTCGGGGCCCCAAAATACCATTCGCTCCATTCACTCCTATCGAACACGCTCATGCACGCCTGCGGGAAGTCCAACCCTTCCCCCAAAAAACCCCTTTACCCCCCCCCCTCCAACCTTTTTGAGGACGCCCCCTACCCCCCCTTTCCCTTTCCCCACAGATTTATATGCTCTCCATGTCATTCTATTTTGATCAGAGTGATTAAAGGGGCGGCAGCGGCAGCAAGGGTATCCTACCATTTTCTTTCTAAAAAAAAAAAACATCGCTCATCAAATTTGTGATGGCCTAAGTGAAAGTTCAACTACATAAACCCCACGTAGACCACAACATCCCCAAAATCTAAAAGAAACCCCAAATCTTGAAAAAATTTTAAAAGATAAAAGGAAAGACAGCCCTGAACCCCAAACCTGCCTCTGCTCCAGACACCATTAACCCAAGCCCAGAAACAAGCCTTCTCCCCCATTGCTACACAGTATCACCCCATGATATTGAAAGGATACGCAAAAGAAAAAACCCCAGTAATAATGGGATAACAGAAAGGGCCCCTAGAACTCAACTGTCTACCCCGGACCCCGGTGTATCATCAACCCCCTCACCACCCCCCACCCGGGCAACAACAACAACAACAGCAAACAGGGCGATTTCCCCCTCCAACTCCCCCCCTTCAAAGGATTCACCCATGAAAACTCGGGTATGATTATTCCTGACAATAAAAGGGACTACATCGTTGCTCTAAAAATAAATAAAAGATATCAAAGCAACACTCGAGGAGAAATCCAAGTAACCAACTCGAGAACAAGATCCAAAACCTTAAGAAAAGATTACACGGGAAGTGTTGACACAGAAATACTCTAAAAGCACTATGCCGTCACAGGGAAAAAATAACAATAAATATGAAGGTTGAAGAAGCAATCAAGGACGGAATCAGAACAGCACAGCTAAAGATGCCTTTGATTTCCAAGACGACAAAACGAACAAGATAATTTGTCTGTGAGTTTAAAAAAACAGCCCACACTTCCAAGGACATAACCAAGCCAGTGCAAAAAAGTTTCAGGATAATACAAAACCCGTACAAGTATCGTGCAAAAACAATGAAATAAAAAAAACACTTTTGCTAGGAAAACCGGAGTAAACACAGTTAAGATCCGACTTCATTCTACGAAAAAAGAAAGGCCCCTAATTAAATCAGCAATTAAAAAAGAAAAATTGGGTGTACATAAATGAGTATCTAAAAAAAAAACGTAAAAACCTTCGTTCAGTGAGAAAATTTAAACGGAAAACAAAAACAAGTGTTTCAGCGAGGGGGGAAAAATACTAGTAAGGAAAAAATCAACAGGACAACAATATACATCCAAATGAACAGTTTCTTAAACCCTTTCCCTTTGAAAAACTGACTTTCTGAAAAAGATTAATAAAATCCCTTAAAAACATATATACGGTGGTGCTATAGTAACCCTTACTATTATTTTGTGCATTTTTATTTTTATTTTTTTATCACTAGCTAATCCCACCCTCCCAAAACTCTATACTTTTTTTTGCTATTAATTGCTCATAATTTAAATTACAAGTCAAATCTTCTCCAAATTAATAATATTCATTATTTTTACCTGTCCCTTTAAATTTTTTTTATCATACTTTTTTTTTAGTCCTTTTTATTGTTAGCAATTAGTGTAATTTCCCAATATTTTTTTCAAGTCCAAAAATATCTTTTTTCTATAGTCCAACTACCTCATTTTTTTTTTTTTACTTTTTTTTTGTGCAATAAACTGTAATTTTTTTAATATTTCAAATCAATCTTCTCCTAAACCAAAATTATTTCTAGTGACCACGTCCCTTTTAAATTTGTTACCCTTACTTTAATTTTAGTCCCTTATATATTTTTCCCCTTTTTTTTAGCTTTATATAACTACCCTAGTTTTTTATATTTCCAATTGTTAAAATAATCAAGGTGCTATTCTCAGGTGCAAAGTAGAATAAGTTCACAATTTTGCCCTTATATTTCCCAAAACTCTTTATTTGATTACCACTTTTTGTTACCACAACTTAATTGCCCTTTTATATTATAATTTTTAACTAAATCTAATTTTAAAAAATTTCCTTTATAGACTACCTACTACATATTCCCAAGCTCCATTTTTGATCATCACTTTTTTGATTAGTCCCTTTTTTTTTTTGTCTCCCTTTTTTTAGCTAAAAAAAAAAAAAAAAAAAACTACCTTAGCTCATTTTTTTAATTTGTTAATAATTCAGTGCTATTTTTTAGCTTTTGCTATTTACTTGTTTTATACTTAATTCTAACTATAGATTCACTACAAATCTTATGATTACAAGCATTGACCTGATAAACCTTTATTTTAAAGACTTAAATGAAACAAACAGTTTCTGTAATTACTACACTGCAGAACAATCAAAGGCACTTCTCAGTGCCAACAACAACAAACTATCTTTAACTACAATACAGATCTTTAAGCAAACATTTCTGACCCCATGCATTTTAAATTCCTTACATGCCCAAAATGTCCATCATTACACTAACTGAAACCCGGCTAAAACCCGACAGTACATATGTCTATGCCCTTCCTGGTTACAAGCCATACAACTGAGGCCCCGACCAAAAAGGGGGGCACAGCCTATTACCAGACCAACTAGAAGTATCACTAATACTTGCACAAGGGATGAACATGGGGAATATATAATAGCCAATTCAAGTCCAAATACCTACAAAAACCTCTCACATTGATAAGCATCTACAGAGTTCCACAGTCAAACATTAGCCAATTTAGTCAAAACCTAGGAAGTATGATAACTGATGCACGCATGAACAAAGATCACTTACTACTCTCAGGTGACTTCAATATAAATCTCCCTGCAAGACCAGGACCCACACGTTACTGAATTCACAAACACAATGAGTAACTGTATGTTGCTACCAACAGTAACAAAACCTACAAGAGTTACAGAGACTAGTGTTTCCCTACTTGACCACATCTGGACCAACACCATATCCCCTTAAAATCAGGCATAATTACAGATAATACCACAGACCACTACCCTACTTTCCTCATAACAACTCTTGGTAAACTACCCCAAGACACTACTAAAGTCACCTTCAGACTTCACAATGAGGCAGCCATTAATAACTTCACAACAGCAGTAGCAAACATTGACTGGCACACTGAGCTAGAAATCTATACAGATATTGACGAATGTATTAATAATTTCTAAAAAAGACCCAATACCTCTATAACAAGCACTGCCCTAAAAAAACTAAACAGATGACAGCTAAGAGACTGAACAGTCCCTGGCTAACACCCCAGCATTCTCAAATCCATAAATACAAAACACCAATATGAAAAACAGTACAGAATGGGTCACATAACCAGAGACCAAACAAAACGTTACTCGTCAATCCTAACCAGCCTGATAAGAAAGGCAAAAAAATTATATTGTGAGAACAGATTATCCAACTTACGAGGTGATATAAAAAAGACCTGGAAAACCCTATCAGAAATTCTGGGAACAAAAAAGATATCACGAAATAGCGCAATAAAATTAGCAAAATCAGATGAACCCCAATTCCCACCAACAGAAACAGCAGACTCAATGATTTCTTCTCCACTATAGGACAAAACCTTGCCAATAAAATCCCAAGCTCAGATACCCCACCAAATGACTACCTCACCGGCAACTACCCGAACACACTGTTCCTAGCTCCGACTAACCCATACGAAGTCTCCCTTATTATCAACGCACTAAAAAACAAGGCAGGAGACTTAAATACCTTACCACCCTTTATATACAAAAAAGTGTTACAAGTGCTATCACCAATCATTGCAACACTCTTTAACAAATCCATTGAATCCTCCACCTTCCCTACAGTACTCAAAATAGCAAGGGTCACCCCGATCCACAAAGGAGGAGACCAAACAGAGTTGAATAACTATAGGCCAATATCCAACTTACACCCTCTCTCAAAAATCTTCGAAAAATTAATTCATAAACGAATCTACTCTACCTTATCTCCCAAAACATACTCAACCCCTGCCAATTTGGATTCAGCCAAATAAAAATACTAATGATGCTATTATACACATGCTAGAACATATATACACTGCAATAGAGAAAAAAGAAGTCCCACTGGGGATCTTCATTGACTTACGTAAAGCTTTTGATACAGTTGACCATGACTTGCTCCATCGTAAAATTGTCGCACTATGGTATAAGAGGGCACTCCCTCAACTACCTCAAGTCATACCATCAGCAACAGAAGCCAATATGTGTACGCAAATGGGCAACTCTTCTGCACAACCAATTACAGTTGGTGTCCACAGGGAAGTGTCCTTGGCCCTCTTCTCTTTCTCCTATACATAAATGACCTACCAAATGCTTCGCAATTGCTCAAACCCACACTATTTGCAGATGACACTACATACATCTTCTCCCACCCGAGCCCAGTCACGCTAGCCAATACTGTAAATACCGAATTACAGAAATGTCTACCTGGATGAGGACTAACAAACTTACACTAAACATTGACAAAACCTACTTCATTCAGTTTGGTAACAGAGCTACAGATGTCCCTCTTAACATAATGATAAACGGATCACCTATCACAAAGCTAACAGAGGGAAAATTCTTAGGAATCCACCTTGATAATAGACTCAAATTTCATACACATATACAACAAATTTCTAAGAAATTTCCAAGACTGTAGGCATACTATCGAAGATACGGTACTATGCTCCACAGTCAGCCCTCCTGGCCCTATATCACTCTCTTATTTACCCCTATCTCACCTATGGAATTTGTACATGGGCTCAACAACAATTAACCATCTCAGACCACTAAGTACCCAACAAAAGGCTGCAGTTAGAATGATAACAAATTCTCACTACAGGCAGCACACTCCACCAATATTCAATACACTAAACCTACTCACCATACAAAACATCCATACTTATTACTGCACCTATTACATACATAGAACACTTAACTCTGATATTAACCCTCCCCTCAACATCTCCTTGCCAACCTCAACAGAACACATGACCATAACACAAGGCATAGATCACTCTTTGATGTTCCTCGTGTCCATCTCACATCTATGCAAAAACTCAATGCACATAAAAGGCCTAAAATCTGGAATTAATTACCTGTAAATATAAAAGAAACACTACCTGTTTATAAATTCAAGTCTCTTCTCAAAGATCACCTACTCACCCAAAACCAAATAAATACTGAATAACTGAACCTTATAAATTGTATATCTAAATGTTTCTCACAATTATATCACATAAATGTTAAACCTAAAACCCAATCTAACTTTATTATTTTTTAAATACACTACCTAACAGAATACTCCATATGACTGAATGTACAACAATGCATGCAACCAATGACCTGTCTTTGTAATACTCACTTGTGCTTTATAGTAATCTGTTTACATTAATGTTTTATCACTGATTTCATCATTGCTTAGTTAATCTTAAGTTAATTTTAAGCCAGCCCGTAATGCTATGCATAGTATAAGTGGCTTTGGCATGTTGCTGTTATCTGTATTTTTTTTGTACCTCTGTATGTGTGCTCAATTTGTAAATAAATAAATAAATAAATAAATCCATTCTCTCTAAATGACCAAACCACCTCAACAACCCCTCTTCAGCTATCTGACTAATACTTTTATTGACTCCACACCTGCTAATTTCCACACTCCAAATATTTACACCACACATTGCCCTTAGACAGGACATCTCCACCGCCTCCAACCACCCCCTCGCTGCAGCATTTACAACCCAAGCTTCACACCCATATAAGAATGTTGGTACCAGTACACTTCCATACATTCTCTTCTTTGCCTCCATAGATAATGTTTTTTGTCTCCACATATATCTCAATGCACCACTCACCTTATTTCCTTCATCAATTCTATGGTTATCCATAGAATTGATGAAGGACATGTCAACTCCCCAATATCTATATGTATGTACATATATGTAATTTGAAATAAAAAGCTATACAGTAGTAGTCAAAGAGTGGACTATGAAAATTGTTAGATTAAAGTATTTACACGGTTAAAATTGAACAAACTCCAAAAATATCACACTATATAAAACACTGTAATAATCAAACATAGCAGCACAAGTCATTAAGGAAAGGATTAGTTATGTCTCCTGTAGGTTAGTACTGTATATGTTACACATTAGGATTTTATGTAGGATAGTTCTTTAATGTATATTTCATTGTTTTGCCATTAATGTGATAATTTTGTGCATAAATGCAACCCTATATGATGTTCATTGTAGTACAGTGCATAGTATGTACAATTATAGCCTAAATTACTGGGAACGGTTAAAGATTCTTTATCTGTATTCCCTGGAATGCAGATGAGAGTGATACATGATAATATACACTTGGAAAGTCCTGGAAGGATTGGTACCAAACCTGCACACGAAAATCACTCCCTATGAAAGCAAAAGACTTGGCAGGAAATGCAACATTTCCCCGACAAAAAGCAGGGGCACTCAAGTACACTGAGAGACAACACAATAGACTCTTGGCTGTCTTTAAGAAGGGACTGGACAGGCACCTAAAGTCAGTACCTGATCAACCAGGCTGTGGTTCGTATGTCAGCTTGCGTGTGGCCAGCAGTAACAGCCTGGTTGATCAGACCCTGATCGACCATGAGGCCTGGTCTCAGACCGAGCTGTGGGGGCATTGACCCCCGAAACCCTCTCCAGGTAATATGTAAGAATAATGTAATAAAATAATAATGTAAAATAATAAAAAATGTTATCTATGGAGGCAAAGAAGGGAATGTATGAAAGTATAGTAGTACCAACACTCATGTGGGTGTGAAGCTTGGGTTGTAAATGCTGCAGCCAGGAGGCAGTTGGAGGCAGTGGAGATGTTCTGTCTAAGGGCAATGTGCAGTGTAAATATTATGCAGAAAATTCGGAGTGTGGAAATTAAGAGAAGGTGTGGAGTTAATAAAATTATTAGTCAGAGGGCTGAAGAGGGGTTGTTGAGGTGGTTTGGTCATTTAGAGAGAATGGATCAAATTAGAATGACATGGTGAGCGTATAAATCTGTAGGGAAAGGAAGGTGGGGTAGGGGTCGTCCTCGAAGAGGTTGGAGGGATGGGGTAAAGGAGGTGTTGTGGGCGAGGGGTTTGGACTTCCAGTAAGTGTGCGTGAGCATGTTAGATAGGAGTGAATGGAGACAAATGGTATTTGGGACCTGACGAGCTGTTGGAGTGTGAGCAGGGTAATATTTAGTGAAGGGATTCAGGGACACCGGTTATTTTATATAGCCTGACTTGAGTCCTGGAAATGGGAAGTGCAATGCCTGCACTTTAAAGGAGGGGTTTGGGATATTGGCAGTTTGGAGGGATATGTTGTGTATCTTTATATGTATATACTTCTAAACTGCTGTATTCTGAGCACCTCTGCAAAAACAGTGATTATGTGTGAGTGAGGTGAAAGTATTGAATGATGATGAAAGTATTTTCTTTTTGGGGATTTTCTTTCTTTTTGGGTCACCCTGCCTCGGTGGGAGACGGCTGACTTGTTAAAAAAAAAAAATGTAAATAAATTTCAGACTTGTTGGAAAAATTTTAAGTGTAAGGTAAAAGGTATTCATACAAAGCAGTACATCCACCAATGATAATTACATCCATCAATGATAATTAAAAATAACAAGACTTCCAGCAAGCGTGCATGAGCGTGTTAGATAGGAGTGAATGGAGACGAATGATACTTGGGACCTGACGATCTGTTGGAGTGTGAGCAGGGTAATATTTAGTGAAGGGATTCAGGGAAACCGGTTATTTTCATATAGTCTGACTTGAGTCCTGGAAATGGGAAGTACAATGCCTGCACTTTAAAGGAGGGGTTTGGGATATTGGCAGTTTGGAGGGATATGTTGTGTATCTTTATACGTATATGCTTCTAAACTGTTGTATTCTGAGCACCTCTGCAAAAGCAGTGATAATGTGTGAGTATGGTGAAAGTGTTGAATGATGATGAAAGTATTTTCTTTTTGGGGATTTTCTTTCTTTTTTTGGGTCACCCTGCCTCGGTGGGAGACGGCTGACTTGTTAAAAAAAAAAAAAAAAAAGGCTGAAATAGTAACCAACCAACCGTGGGCGTGAGGTAGGCCACCACAATGGGTACCACCAGGCCATTTAGGCCATTGAAAGAGTTAGCCAGACCAGAGAGAGTGGCAGCATAGGGAGGTACCAGGTCAATTGGAGTGTACTGGTAGCCACCCACGAACAACATGCACTGGCCCATCACCACCAGCAGCAGTGACATAGCTGCCGCCCATCGCCATTCACATGGTGCTTCCACTACCACTAGTGGTGTCAGGTTGGCCAAGAGCAGTCCTGTGTGGCAAAGGAAATATAAAAAAATTGTAATTCAGTTTGTACTCTGATAAATTTATATTCTCCCAGTGAGTAATAAACCTGCTGAAGGTGTAAAGTAATGACTGGGTAGCACTTTAAAAGTACACATGGAAAATTTCAGAATATAATGAAGGGACTCTTAATTAACAAGGATTATTATTATAATCAAGGGGGAGTGCTAAACCTTGTAGGATTATGCAGTGCCTATGGGGGGAATGTGGAAGGTATTCAGGCTTAATTCAGGGAACCAGAGCACAGATCCAATTCCCTAGACCAAGAGCCCCTCACCAACATCAAGGAATTTTCCTTGAGGGGAAATTAACAAGGAGCTTCCTATCTCCCCAAAAATAAGATAGGCAAATACAGTGGTACCTCGGGATAAGAACAGCTCAAAACTCAAACAATTATGTAAGTGTATTTATGTAAGTGCTTTTGTAACTGTATTTTTGGGGGTCTGAAATGGATTAATCTAATTTACATTATTCCTTAGGGAACAAATTCGTTCGGTATCACCACTCGAACAGCCTTCTGGAGCGAATTTAGTTCATATCCCGAGGTACCACTGAATATATATCCACTACATAATGTTCATGATCAAATCCCTGAAAATGTGCAAAATACAGTACTGTATATGAATCTTAATTTGATGATTAATTAAAGAAGTGTTTCTTAGGTGGTGAGCAGCAACACCATTTCAGGGAAAGGGTTTGTAAAATGGTTTCTCAGGGTGTATAGATTACAAGTGAAAGGAATTTTGGCATCCTGTGCCAAGGAACATCTAGAAAAACATTTAGCTATGCTTACAACCAAAATTTTAATGTAAAAATTCAAATTTAAAAACATGTTTTAAAGATGTCAGTGAGCAAGGTGTAATGCACTTCCAAGTACATAATAAAAATGCCCGGTTTCCCAATTTTTTTTTTTTCCCTTTGTAAGATGAAAAAAGGGGCAACAAAGTGATCAATCTACGAGGTTAGTAAATTGGGGGAATATTAAAAAAAAGAGCAAAAATTTTTTTAAAGTAGTGGGTCAAGTTGCTTTTTCCTTAAGGTGTGAAAAATAATGGAAAGTTTTTACAAGTCACCCATTCTCAAGATCGAGTTTAGAAAAATAGTTTTAATGGTATGAAAAATTTTAAATATTTACAAGAAGAAAGTTTTGCTCTTAAGTTATCACCTTTATATTTTACTTTGCAATTAGCTCTCAATAAAAATTTGGGAAAAATCTTTAATATTATGTGCCCCTTATGAAAAAGTGCCACAAACCCCCTTTGCTAAGATGTTGTCAAGAGGGAGTTTACCAGGTATTTAAGACTTTCTTTGGATGGTGGAAAGGGGGGGAAAAGGGGCCCAAAAATTCAAGGCATCTTTTCCATTCCCCCACCAGCGAAGAGGAACTTTCAACCATGGAGCGATGACATTATCCTTTGCTGTTCAAAACAAAAATTTTGTGATAGTTTTTGCAGCCCAAAGGCTACAATAAAAACAGTGATAAAATTTTTAAGTACTGACCAGCATTATTTATTTTTATTTCTTTAACGTACCGCCTTTTTCCCACCCAGGTGGGGGGGCCCAAAAGGAAAAACGAAAAGTTTTTCCTTTTTAAAATTTAGTAATTTTTACGGAGAAGGGGTTTTTAGCCCCCTTTCTCCCGGCATTTAAGTGCCCCTTAAGAACGCATGGCTTACGGGGAAGAATTCTGTTCCACTTCCCCATGGAGATAAGGGGAAATAAACAAGAACAAGAATTAGAAAGAAAATAGAAGAAAACCCAGAGGGGTGTGTATATACATGTATATGCTTGTACACGTGTGTAGTGTGACCTAAGTGTAAGTAGAAGTAGCAAGACGTATACCTGAAATCTTGCATGTTTACAAGACAGACAAAAGACACCAGCAATCCTACCATCATGTAAAACAATTACAGGATTCCATTTTACACTCACTTGGCAGGACGGTAGTATACCTCCCTGGGTGGTTGCTGTCTACCAACCTACTACCTAGGATTATTATTATTATTATTATTATTATTATTATTACAGTATTACTGTAGTTTTAGAAAGAGTATAGTACTGTAATAGCAATAAGTAGTAATAACTTGTAGTACATATTATGTATTATGCAGTCCTATATTACACTATAGAACTGCATAATAGCTGTAACACAATAATAATTACAAGAAAGATTATAATAACTTTATAATAATAATCCCACTACTAAATATAAACTCTACTAGGAGACTGTACTGTAAACAGTCGATGATACAATGTCATAGTATCAGTAAGAACGTATTACAGTATAAGAAGTACCTGTACTGTAGAGGTACTTTACTCACATGGCCTACTGAAAAGAAAAATATCCCTCATGATAGAATGGCGATGATGTAGAGTGAAGTGAAGTATCCAAAGCTGCTGAAAGATGGTTGCTGCATAGACTATTGAGTGTCCCAACAGCGTTTATAGGCACTCTTCAAGACCTGCTAAACAAGCAATTTTTTCATAAATGCTGAGGAAATACTGGTAATCAAACAGTGTAATTGTAACTAATATCTGGAGTGGGTCCTTACATTTCTTGTCAGGACCACATCCACCACCTCCTTTGATTCCATAATTTGCTTTAAATAACTTTAACAATACAGTAAATAACATGTACCAAAAATGACAACTATCCAGTAGTAATTGTGCTTGCTTACATTTTTGTGCTGTGAAGTATAAACACTTCCACACCCTTGCACTGAATCATTTCAAAAGATTTTAGTGTTTAATAATTTAAAAATGAACCTAAATTAGTTTAGTACCAAAATATAAAACAGAAGAATTCAATTGTTTACTTGCTATGTGATCATGTGGGTTTGGTGCACTTTTGTGAATATAATAAAACTACACTAGAGTTATAAACCAATTTGATAAAATTCTTGTGCTGAGTGTTACTTAAAAATGAACCTGAATTAGTCTTAGATACTTTAGAGAAGATTACAGATCACAATCAATATAAA